TATGTCTCACAATCTCTTTGATTTAAAAAGCAGAAAGTATTGTTTTAATTCTGACTCTCATCTTCGAGTTGTTTGACACATAATCATAGTTCTCATACCGTTTTACACGCATTTGTTTTTTGTCGATCCAAGAAAAGAAATAAGACTAAAATTTATTTATTCCAATTGCACTGAGACATTAAACATATTAAAAATATATGATATCACATAATAAAACTGAAAATTGATTAATAGTATTAAATTTAATCAACATTTCAATTATAGCGAGATTCTTCATAGATAAATTCAAAAGGATGAAATTATTTAAATTATTTTTAGAGAGTTTTATAAAACTGCATGATATTTTTTATTAACTTCATCGGTTCTGTAACTGTCCATTCAAGATATAATCATAAAAGTATTGTTTCTAGTTTAAAGCTCAAATCAGTATCAATATCAACCTTTAGAAAATTCTAGACAAAAAAAAAAACTTTCTTCTAAGATTTAACCAGTGCAGAATGCGATAATTGCTATTGAGTTTTTTGTTATGAGTTAAAGACTAACTAGTTTTGGTTAGGAAGTTGAAAAAAAAAATAGCTAAAATCGTGATAAAATCTTTACGGTCGTTTTTTTTGTGAAAATCCCCAAAAATTTACACCTGTTGAATAACCTACAAAACAGAAACTTGCAAAAATTTTAGATCAAGATTTTGGTAGGAGATTCGTATTGTCTTGTAAAGAAGCGAAAATACATAATTGTAGAAAGTTCGAAATCGATCCGTGAGACGAAACTGTTATTGTTTAAAAAATCGTGTCCCATACACCCATACCCTATTAAGTTGAAAATGTGTAATACATTAGAAATGAATTCAAAAGAAAAGATTTGATGATTCGTATATAGATCATTGTTTGTGCTACAATGCAGAATAATGAATATGACAGATTCTTCAAATATTCTTGAACTTGGGAGAGATTTGTTTTTGAGTTCTTTTCATCTACTAAAATTCGAATTTACGTATTTTTTTATCTAAACTTATCTTATTTAGTACTTTGATTAGTCTTTCTACAAACAATTAAAAACAATCTATTGTTCAGTTCTGTTTAAATTGAATAGATTGGTTCAATATTTAGTTGTTTGTTTGAGATTCATGAATAAAATAAACATTCAATTTTGTTCAAGTGATCGATCGAATTATGGATAGAACGATTGATTATAGAAAAATTGCTCAATAATAAGTATGATGCAAAATTAATGGCACAAAATACTTTCGAATAGCGTATGATTTATATTTGTCACACATTCGTAAATGGAATGAGACGAATAAGAAAGAAAAATACTTGCACAAAAAATTTATAATTTTTGTATGAATCAGTCAAAAACGTCTTATGCATGGTAGTTAAGTATAATTAACTATCGTTTTGCAAGAGCTTTTTTAACGAGTTTATAAAAGGTGAGTGTTTTTAACAAATTCATATAAAAGTTGCAAATTTATTTTGTCTCATTTCACTCAGAAATGTGTGACGAACATAAATCATATACCGTTCGAAAGATGAGAAAGTTTCCTATCAGCTGATAACAATTTTTTTTCCTTACGTTCAAATTCTATTATAACTCATGTTATTGTAAAATCCAAACAAAAAAAAATGAAATGATTTTTAAATTGATGACATGCAAAATCTAAATATATTTCAAAATAGAACTAACGAAATCAGTAAATATGTTTAAAAAATTGATATAAAAGAAAATTTCATTTACAATAAAATCCGAGTTCATCGCAATTTTTCACCTTACCAGTTAAATTTTAGTTAGTTTTAGTAAAACTAACGATTCTTACACAAAATATTTGAACAATCAACAATATTTGTTTTCAACATTGGAAAAATCAGATTCTAGTCAAGTTCATACGTAAAAAGCTTTTGTAATTGAGAACAGTTCAATACTGTTTAAAACAAATGAGAATGAGTCATTTTAATGAAATTGATGTTTATTTCTACTCCATACTTTTGTTTTCATTTTAGTACCACTACGTGCAAGTTTCACTGATATTCATCCGAATGCAAAATGGACAAAGAATGATATCACTGTTGCTGGAGGAAATGGATATGGCAGTGGAACCAATAAATTCTTGTGGCCATATGGTTTGTACGTCGATGATGATCAAACGATTTATGTTGCTGATCGTGGTAATCATCGTATTGTGGAATGGAAATATGGTGCAACAAATGGAAAAGTAGTTGCTGGTGGAAATGGAGCTCATCAATTAAATGACCCACGAGATGTGATTATCGACAAAGAGAGTGATAGTCTCATCATCAGTGATACCGAGAATGAAAGAGTAGTTCGTTGGCCTCGTCAAAATGGTACTTGTGGAGAAACAATTATTTCCAATATCTCTTGCTGCGGTTTGACAATGGACGACAATGGATCACTCTATGTCGTTGACAATGGAAAACATGAAGTAAGACGATATAAAATTGGTGACACTCAAGGAACAGTGGTTGCCGGTGGCAATGGAGAAGGAAATCGTCTCGATCAACTCTATTATCCCCGCTATGTATTTGTCGATCGAGAACATTCAGTTTATGTATCTGATTGTGAAAATCATCGTGTCATGAAATGGGAAGAAGGTGCAAAACAAGGCATTGTCGTAGCCGGTGGTCAAGGACAAGGAAATAGTCTTACACAATTGAATGAACCTGAAGGAGTTGTTGTCGATCAATTGGGTACTGTCTATGTGACTGATTCACGGAATCATCGAATCATACGTTGGCCAAAAGGAACCACACAAGGCACTGTCATTATAAGTGGAAATGGTGAAGGAGCACAGTTCAATCAACTCAATTATCCCATAGGCTTATCATTCGATCGACATGGCAATCTCTATGTCGTCGATATGGGAAATCACCGAGTACAAAAATTTAATATCGCATGAATTCAATACGACGATTAATTTTATTTTTGTTTGTTCTCTTTCTCTTTCAAATAAATCGTGATTGAATGAAAAAATGAATTCACTGCTATTCTATTCGCACGCGCGGGAAGACCCACATCATCCACATGCACCCATCCCTTGTCATATGTCAGTGAGTCTGGGGGCCCGATCGTGTGCCACGGACACCAAGACAGTTCCTGGCCAAGCTTTTAGGGACTACCCGGAAGTCCTTCTTATAAAGCGAAACCCTAATCTCAACGTACCTCATTCACTCTAACTTCACTTATCTCAAGAAAAAGAAAAAAAAACTCACTCGTCGATGTTGAATGATGTTGATAACTAAAAGAAAAAGAAAAAAAATTAAACGATGAAGAAAAAACAAGATAACTTACCCCTATTATCTGTTTCTTCATTAGTCAATGGCTAAAATATAAAAACACAAGTAACGCTCGTCGCTTCGACTCGCTTAGTCCTCGACTGAACAAGATATCATATTCAATTGTTCACAGACCATGTTGTAACGACAAACTGGATTGAATAGCTTTTTGCCATTCTCGGCAATGATGTTTATTCAGCTATTTCGCATATCAAGAGTGTAACAACTTCATACATAATACGCATATATATAGGAGAGAGATAGAAGAGAGACAGGAGAGAGATATATTAGAGCAACGGAAAGAGAACAGACAGAGAAGAAAGGAGAATCATCGAACCGTGTCATCAATATCGGCACACCCTCCCACTCAGATCAGACGCGTTCCTGAGCGTCTTTACAATATCAAAAAAAATTAAATGAAACAGTGGTAAGTAACGAAGAGAAACAATAACGTAACAGAACACATCAAAAGTTGATCATTTTGACCATTATCATACAATAAAAAGTCGGATATAAACAATATCAATCAATAACACTAATAACAATCGCTTGAATTATCTTCTTTTTTTTTCAGACACTTTACAAAAAAAA